CAGGGAAAACTATAATTCAAAAAGACACATGCACCCCAATGTTCATCGCAGCTCTATTTACAATAGCCAGGACATGGAGGCAACCTAAATATCCATCAACAGAGGAATGGCTAAAGAAGATGTCGTACATATATACAATGGAATATTACTCAGCCATAAAAAGGAATGAAATTGGGTCATTTGTAAAGACGTGGATGGACCTAGAGACTGTCATACAGAGTGAAGTAAGTCAGAAAGGGAAAAACAAATATCGTATATTAACACATATATGTGGAATCTAAAAAAATGGTATAGATGATCTTATTTGCAAAGCAGAAATAGAGACACAGACATAGAGAACAAATGTATGGATGGATAGCAAGGGGGAAGCGGGGAGTGGGATGAATTGGGAGATGGGGATTGACATATATACACTATTGATACTAAGTATAAAATAGATAACTAATGAGAACCTACTGTATAGCACAGGGAACTCAGTGCTCTGCGGGGACCTAAATGGGAAGGAAATCCAAAAAAGAGGGGATATATGTATACATACAGCTGATTCACTTTGCTGTACAGTAGAAACTAACACAGTGTTGTAAAGCAATTATACTCCAATAAAAATAAAAATTTTTAAAAAGCCTTTAAAGAGAAAGCAGTGCAGCTCTGCAAACACAGAATGCAGAGACTAGACAGTCTGGGAGGTAACATACAAAACACACCACTGCGCTGGCACAGAAGCCCAGACAGTAAAGACTTTCACACAGGAGGGAATGAGGGATGTTGCAAACACACGAAGGAGGTCTGATGTGATAAGAATCATAAAACTTCTCGTCATCTGGCCTACCAGGAAGTTATCAGCGAACTCTGTGAGAAGTAAGCATCTCCTTAGGGTGCACGAGGAAGAAGAATTCGGAGAGAAAAGCTGCTGAGCGCAGCCCTTTTCAAAGGCACTGAGACACCCTGATCTTTGGGGGGTGAAGATTCAAGTTGAGGGAAGCCAGCGTTCCCTTTCTGATTTAATCAAAGCCAATTATTCAATTTCTAAAACAATGTGAAATCCAGCCCTTCTAAATCCTGGCCAAATATATTAGCTGTCCGGACAAAGGTTAAGAACTGCCCACCCATCCCAGCCTCTGCAAATCAATAATAATACAAAAATGGAGTTTATGACATTTTGCTACCCCTAACCTATCTATAAAATGTCATAGTTGTGCTACATCTGATTGAAATTAATAATTTTCATCTCTCTCATTGGAACTCTTTTTTTTTTTCGCATCTTTACTGCAGTATAATTGCTTTACAATGGTGTGTTAGTTTCTGCTGTATAACAAAGTGAATCAGTTATACATATACATATGTTCCCATGTCTCTTGCGTCTCCCTCCCTCCCACCCTCCATATCCCACCCCTCTAGGTGGTCACAAAGCACCCAGCTGATCTCCCTGTGCTATGTGGCTGCTTCCCACTAGCTATCTACCTTACGTTTGGTAGATACTCTTTATTAATCCTTTTAAGCCTAACTTATTTAGGTCTAGGCCAGGTAGACCTATTAAAATCTGCCTGATGTTTTAGGACATCACTCAAGAATTACTAATTACTTGTCAGATAAGACTATAAAATCCACTTCTAGCAAATATGAAGTTGACTGTATAATAATTCTGCTTCATTGGGTTTTATAAATATTATAATTTTCGATGCTATAAAATTCATATCTTTGTTTCAGATATCGATATACTACTATATATTAATGTACATTTCATGCCTGGGAGCATGTGCTCCTAAGTAGAAAGCAAATTTCTGCCATTGCTACTTTTCTGTATACAGAAACATAGCACAAAACCCTTTTAATTGACCAATTTCATAATAGTTGAATAATAACTTCATATGTTTCATTGTAAATAGATGTGGTCTTGCCATATTTAAAGATTACACACAAATTGTAATAACATGCCTTCCTCATATAAAGCCTACTTTCAAGAGGCAGCACTGGGGAGGGAAGAAAACCACACTGGAATTAGACCTGGATGCATCTCAGTCTCATAACATATAACTGTGAAATGTCTGGCAAGCTTTAGTTTCATCTGTAAGATGGGATTCACAACAGTTACTTTAGGGTGCAGTTTCTTTCAGGAACCCCTGAATAATCCTTTATTGATAGATATTATTTGCAAGTCTCAGGCTGAAAGGAAATTACCAGACTTTGGCCACTGTATGCTTAGCATGTTCTATTTCCATGTTGTCAGTTAACGTAACAGAACCTGTTTTCTGCATTTGGTATCCCTGGCCCTTTCTCCCCAACTCTCACACGAACCAGCACAGGTATAACTTGGCATTCCCGGAGCACGGACCACACGCTCATTGATACACAGAGTGATGCGAGTTCATCACATCCTGGGGTAAAGTCTCCCCACAGATCAGGACTGTTGCCTTCAATCATAGTTGTTCTCAAGGATGCTCCCACCTCAGCCCAAACATACTCACACACACAGTAACTGGAAAATCCCCAGGGAAGAATGAATGGGTGGATGGATAAGTGACCCTGCCAGCAAGCAGATGTTTTTCTGAGTCAACTGCTAGGGTTTTAACATTTTCATTGTCCTTTTTATAATAGAGACACAAGTTAACTAAAGCTAGAAGCTTGAGCTCCAACTTAACTGATGCATTTAAAGATCTGGATGATTACATGCCATTTTAATAACAGTGTCTACTAACTAAATAAAAGTCCATTTGGCTTTTTCGCATCCAAGATATTTGCTTTCCCACAAAAGCATCCACTAACTTAATTATGACTTACAGGGAAAATTACAGTGGGTTGAAGGAAGAGCTTAAAATAGGATTTCAGTCAACCTGAGAACTGAAGTAGAGGATTCTATTGATTGGTGTACGTTATAGAAAGTACATCTAAATATTCAATCCTATAATTCTCTTAATGTTAAGGCGGAAAAAAAGAAACTCTATATATGCCAAATAGGAGGCTTTGGTTATTTAACTGAACATCAGCTGACATAGTAGATCCAGATTTTAACCAGGTAATAACTTGTTAAATGCAGTTGGCATTTTAAACCAAATGAATATCCATGAACTTAAAATACATGGCTTAGAGTTTGAAATAAAAATTTAATACCAATAGAAAAAGGGAGTTTTTGAAACCCATCTTTTCCAACCGAAGCATGTATAGAGGGAAATTGGTAGCGCAGAGGGCGAGTATGAGAAGACAAAGTGATTTTGTTTTCAGTTTCCATGCAGCAAAAGAAGCAATTAGCATTTACATACAACCCAAACTGGGATTGAAATCCTTTGGAGAATCCACTTTCACAGTGGCTCTTTGAAAACATTTTAAATAACAAAAAAATTTCCTGCCTGTTGGTAGCTAAAAACCTTTTCTAATTAATTTGTTCTAAGAATGTATCACCCAAGATCTATATTACCCCAGCAAGAGACATAACTAGAGTTCAAACAGCTAATTATTGGAAAGGATAACTACGATGTTAATAGGATTATGCCTGACCCTTTTTTAAGACTAAAGTATTCCTATATTAAATGACCTAGGGTGGGAAGTATCCAGAACATTTCCTAAATAGCAAAAAGGAAAACTGGGTGTAATTATGCACACCTGTCAAGATTAAATTTATCCCTTTTGAGTATATTTCACTCACAGAAAATTTGATGACTCTTTTCAAAGTCCTTAGAAAGATGTAATTATCAAAACCCCATATATGTAAGAATAGATTTTTTTTCCAAATAAGGGTAAACTTAGATTCTCTTTCAGTTTTATCGAGTTGATTAAAATATTATATTTATAAAGGCAACATAGCCCTCTAGTGGACAGATTTTTAATAGCGGGTTATTTTACTTCTGATAGGCTTTAAATCTATGAAATAAAAGCTTAAACGAAATGAAACATTTGTTTTATAATATATGATACATGATTATGAAAAATAGGAGTACTTCTAGGGGCAATGTTTTTCGGTTTTTTTTGCGGTACGCGGGCCTCTCACTGTTGTGGCTTCTCCCGTTGCGGAGCACAGGCTCCGGACGCGCAGGCTCAGCGGCCATGGCTCACGGGCGCAGCCGCTCCGCGGCATGTGGGATCTTCCCGGACCGGGGCACGAACCCGTGTCCCCTGCATCGGCAGGCGGACTCTCAACCACTGCGCCACCAGGGAAGCCCTAGGGGCAATGTTTTTTGAGACAAGTGTTGTATAACATTCCAGACACACGTTTCTAACCACCATTCCCATCCTTACATACCCCATTCAAAACCAAGCTGTTCTACCAAAATGTAGAAATGAAAGAGATGAGGTTCAAGACATAGGTTTGATTATAACTGAGTTTTTATATGTCTGAAATTATAGATCGTATATGGCTGTCCCCCCTGCTGCTCCCTTTTTTCTTCCTTTTTATAGCCCTTTCTAAGCAATGCATCAGTGCACCTCTCCTTTCCCTTCTTCCCAAAGTTGTCTTTGCCAGTGGGAGCGAGTTGTATGTCCCAGGGATGCTCTTTGCAGTAACAACATCTGTTCTGGAGTCATGAGTGGCACCACCTCTTCTTCCCCTTGTCAGGTTTTGTTGTCAAACCTTCTGTAACAGCTCCTTTTTCCCTGGCAATCTCAAGTTCCTGGCAATCAAGAAGTTGCTCCTTGCCAATGTCTGCTGTATACTCAGTCCTCTGGGCAACACCTCCTGCAGACTGGCAGCTGTGGGGTAATGGCGTTAGAAGGGGCTGTGCCCTCAAGACATGGGTTTGTGATAAGAGGTTTACCCTTTCCAGACATTTAAGAGCAATCCATTTCTCTAAATACCTGAAAAGGTAAAATACCACAATTAATTCTTCTATATCAAGAGAAGAAGCATTGCACAGCGAAAATGAGCATGAAATAAGACGTCGGAAGGTGTGAGTTCCATTGCTAGGCCTGATATGTTTTAGTTGTGGGTATCGAGTAAGTCAACCTCGGCGACTGCTTTTCCTTAAATCAGATGGGAACGATTAATAACAAAGCCCCTGCTTACCTTACAGGACTGTTGTGAGGAAGAAATGGTAAGGTGTTGCATGCGGAAGTGTTTTATAGTAACAGCACGGTGTAAGTTTTTATTCCCTCTGGTTGAAATAAAAAACTCTTCGGTAAACTTGGAATTGCCATTTTAATATGCCACCAATTTTCCCTTCCACTGAATTAAGCATGTGTAATAATTTTCCTTTTTGTCACAAGTGTTTAGTCTTTGCTTTCAACCTTGTGTAGTAGGTCACTACCTTTGTCCCCATTATGAATGGGGAATATAAAGCTTGGAAAACCAAAATCGTCATAAAGGAGATATCTTTGAGATTTGGAGTCCACTTCATTGTTTTCTTGGCCCATTACATAACCACACCTCACTGACTATTGTAATTTATTGCTTCTATCCTGAAACGTCTGATTTGTCCATTTTGCTCTGCATTGATATCATGCATTTTTACAACTCTACACGATTTTACCCGCTCTGCTTGGAATTCTCCTTGTCTAGGTCTCCATCTGGCCAACACATTTATTTCAACTCTCATTGCAATGCTCTGTGATGCCTATTTAACTGTCAGAGCTCCTCAGTTTCAGAGCCTCTGTCTTGTTCATCTTGACTTTCCAACCCAGACACCGTTGCATAAATCAGGTGTCTCATACATATTTGTAAATCGTTGTTGACGCCTAAATAAAGCTGTAGTATTATTTTACCATGGTATTTTGACTGAGAAAAATGACACATTTAAAGAATAACTTACCAATTTTTTTCAGAACCTGAAGGAAGTTGATTCCATTTTTGCACTGGGAAATTTGAGGTAGAATTGTTAAATATAAAGGAAAAGCTGATAGTACAATGTGAGACTATTAAAATAATGAATTGCCTTTACCAATGACAGTGGTTCTTTCTTGAGCCTATACTTTAATACAGTATAATACAGTCATGCTGTATTAAATTTCAGCATCTCATTAATTCCTCAGCTGAGTGTTTGTGTAAAGATACGTGGTTTTGTGATCAGCCTCTACCCCAGAGTTACCATAGCTACTGCAAAGTTTTCATCTTATTTGCAACCATTTCAAGGATTCTCCCTAAGAACCAATTGTTTACTCAAAGTAGACTGTCTTCCAAAAGAGTCCCCACACATAGCCATGATGATGAACCAGTAGGTAAGCTCGTTAAAGGGCAGTAGGTAATGTTTTCCGTACCCCACTGCCCAAACTCCCCTGTAAACAAACAAAAAAAATCCACCCACGCACAAAGAGGGCATATTTCCTTATTTTCTGAAGTATACCAAATGTGTTTCTCTCTTCTCAACGTCACTATTCGAGACAATCTCTAATAAGATTTTATATGCTTATTTTAGTATTCTTAGCATAGGCTATTGGAATTTTCTCCCATAAAATATTTCAGCTTTGATCAAGACTCCCACAGTAAGCATTGTATATGCATTCTGTTCTCTTCGTGGCTTTAGTTGTTTAAAAAGTGGAATTGTTAGTTCAAAATATTACAAGAATTGTAAAAGTGAAAAAAAACATGTCTCTACATGACCCCTCACGTTAAGCTTGATGTTTTCCTTTTAGAGCTTTTCTCCAGCATATATATATATATATATATATACGTTGATCCAGAGCAAATAAGTCCTGTATTTTATTACCTTAAATGAACCCACTGTATTACTTAGAGCAGGACCAAGTAAAATTGGGGACAGACATTAGTCATGCCTAAGACAGATGGCAAACAGTCTAGCACCAAGTCTCCTATCATTTTCTCCATTTCTCTTCATCTTAAAATGGCATTATTTTAATGGTTCTTGATAATGGAAACTTTGAAACCAATTTTTAAAGAACAGTCCTAAAGGACAGTTGATTAAGAAGGACACATCGATTGCTAAAGGTCAGGTTCTTTCTACAGGGCAATGTTGTGTCCAATATTAGATCAAGAAATGGAGGAAACGGTGAACAGTTAGGCACTTACTGGATGTCTGTTATAAGTAGTTTTAGTACAAATGTGTGTCCATATTTTACCATCTGTAGAAATCAAAGATATAAACACAACCCAATATTTCATAAGGATCACTCTAATATGGTGGCATTTGGGATGTTTGTAAATATCACAGAAACAGATACAAGAGCCAGAATTCATCTTCAGAAACTTGTGAATCATGTATGTAGATTCCAGATTTGTTGCTCCACAGCAAAGACACAATGGAGAACACATTTTTTCAACGATGTTGTGTTTTAAAGTTTTTCAAATAAGGATACCTGCATTGGTGTGGCATGCTCCATAGGATACTGTGTGGAAATGTAACTGAAACAAATTCTCAAGGAGTTTATTATTTAATCAGCAAAGCAAGCTCATTTTCCAGTCTTTATATAGTCCCTCAGTATGTGTGCACACACACACATGAGCTCGGTGAAGCTTGGCAGAATGAGTACTAATTTCCTATTTAAATGTGATCTTTCTAGGATTTACCCCCCAAGTTGCATATTTTATACATTTGGCATCATTAGTTTCTCCCAGGAAATTTCACAGAATATTGTCAATGGTGTCTTCCTATCTCCTCCCACCCACTTTCTCATAATTACCGGAAATACATCAAATTCCAGAGAGGCACTCTTACTCAGAGACACTTTGAGAAGTTAATGATGCTGCCCTCCAACACATTCCTAACCTGCAGACACAGTCACAGCTCGGCAGGCAGAGACTCAACCAGCCGCTCTCTGAATCCCCACTCGCTGCTTCCTCGCGGCTCCCCACGCTGAAGGCTGAGAGGGGTCTGGAATTGCTGACTACCATGCAGAGCCATCCTCAGTCTTCTGGACATTTGAGTAACAAACTATAGTTTCTGCTTCCCAGAATTCCTTGGGCCATACCACCTTTGTGAGAGGTTTCTCCTTTTCTACACCAGTAAATCTGCCACGTTCCCTAGAAACTGGTAGAGGAGAACTTAATTTACTTCCCTCTGACATTTTATTTTTTTCATTGACGTGTCCTGCTTCTGACTGAAGAATCCTTTCCACTTCCTACTGAGTTCTCTTTTCTCCAGGTGGTCCAATTTCACAACTAAATTTTCCATCTAGTCCCACTTTCAGTTGTAGATTGACCCCTTTGCCTTCCCGTCTTTGCTACATTCTCTCCATCCTCACCCTTGCACCTGAGAATGAATGAATGAATGAGACATCTCTCCTCTTCCCTTACCGGATGTTCCAGATCAATAATAGCTAATTGTTGGAAGCTTTCGCGCACTAAGCCACAGCCATGTTTGGTGCCGCTTTTCTGCATTCACATAAGTACTCTATTGCCTCAGTGCCTATCAGACAGCATGGTTCATAATAACAATTACAGGGTGGCTCAAGAGAATTGGGTTCAAATTCCAATCATACCGCATATTTAGTGCCGGCCTTTGGGCCAACCTACCAGACAGCTCTGTGCCTCACTTTGCTCATCTGTAAAATGGGGATAGTAAAATTAAAGTAAAAGAACAGCGCCTGGCACGTAATAGGTACTAGGAAATAATAGTTTCCATTTCCCTTTGTTGAACAGATAATGAATGAACAACTGAAAGAGACATCATCTAACTTCTTTTGCTCTCTGACAGGCTCTCGTGAAGCTTCTCGGCTTCTAGACAGAGGGATCAATTTGCTAATTCAGTAGCTTGGCTCTTCCAAGGCCACTGAGTTATCCTCCCCGCCCTGCTTCTTAATATCTGCCCTCAACCCCCTCATCACGTTGTCTGCACCTAGAACCCCACGACTCTGCTCAGCTACCGTTTACCTGAATCAGACAATTCTTATTCTTGTTCTGGGTTACTAAAGCCGCTCCTGTAATCCTGTAGAATTCCCAAATTTATGTCCCAGAGACACAGAGACGCCTCCCACTCAATGCTCTAATATCCAAACCCCAAACCCTCAGAGTGACTGGCTTTTCCCTCTTGAGATGTTGGAGGTCTACTTAAAGGGATGAAAGGGCAAAGAAAATCAAATATAAATCCCGTCACTCGAACTTGAGTGGATGGAGGAATGATGACAGAAAACCTGGTCTGCAGAGAAGGGTGATGTGAACTTAGCGAATTCTGTTGTAGACTCTGATACACTGTATCTTTTCAGCAATCAATGGGGGAAAAATCAATGGAAAACAAACTATGAATAGAACTAACCAAAAATCAAAATGGCATTACACTAAGGAGTAATGTAATGATATATATCAAATATTAAAGCATATAATCATGTAAGTTATCTCGGAGATTTTAAGTAATTTGAATTATGCATGGATGAAGTCCGAATGTATAACAGTATCCATTTTCTGAGGTTATGATTTACTTTATTTTATTAAATAATGATTCTCTTTCCTTTAGTTGACATGGGCTTACCCAACATTTAAAAATGGTATTGCTCTTTTTGTACTCTAAATACTCTCACATAGTTGAAAATAAAATTCTTCCATGAAATATTTTCCTGGAATATTTTTCTTTTCTTTAAATAATTGGTTTTCCCTCGACAAAATAAAGTGTTATACTACATTACAGCCTCACTGTTAGGAATGAAGAAAGAGGGGAAAATGCAGGAAGACCCACACATACCACAAAAATGGAGAGTATCCAGGTCCTAGAGGAATGGTGAGTGTGATTCACGTTGTAATTGTGTCTTGCATGTACGTGCTGTGTACATCTACCCAATGTTTAAACATAATCTCTTGCTTCCCGGTAACTCCTCAGAATGGTTTTGTGAAATGAATGCATACTTAGTCTGGGAGATCTTATTTTGTGATTGCAACTGCTTTTTATCCCTTTTTTTTTTTATTAGCTCTGTTAAACTATCAGCTAAAACATTGCTTAGGTTTATCCTTCCCTTTCAAAAAACAATGATTGATACATGAATTAACCTCCCCCCCCTAAACTGCCTAGTTCTCTACTTCCCTTTTCTAAAAATATTTTTAAGTTGTTCTTTTTATAGAAGAGCCTAAAACACACACAAAAAAGATATGGAACTACCTAAGTCAGTGAGAAAGGGCACCCAGCTCTTCCTCAGTCCCATTTCCATTGGAAGGGACTCTAATTCAGTATTTTCTCCAAACTGAGAAGTTGAAATGCAGTATCCACAGAATAGAATTAAAATACAAGCAGATTATTTGTATAATGATATGTGCTTTCTTTTTCTACTTCTTATGAGAAGGTTTCAATTTTGATGCTTCATAGTAATTTTTCTGTCTTTTACACTTTTTTTTAAACAAATGAGGAAGTTCAGACATTTTGGAATAATAGCAAATCTATATAAAATATTTGGTCAAAAAGGTAAGAAAAAATAAAATATCAGAATTTTTTGACCAAGCGTATTTTAGGTTGGAAAATTATTAAACAGACGAATGAATGGCAAAGCAAAATCAGGACCAATTTAACCATAAGAATCTCCAAGCTTCTCTCCTTTACGTCTTTGAAGTAATAATTGGTGGTTTCTGCAGGAAAGTAGTCGCTGAAAACCTGAATATAGGTATCTAAAAAGTCCCTGATGTCATTATAATTGTCCTGGGCTTTTTAATTGTGATAACTCCATTCATAGGTAACAATTCGCTCATAAGTTACCAGAATAATTATTAAAGTTTAGGAAAATATGTGACAAGTGCACACAATGTATTCTTATTTTGATTCAGTGAAAAATGAAAAGACAGCGACCAGAGATGAAAAGAGAAACAGTATCTTATGGCTTGGAAATGAAAATCTACATCAGATGCAAATAAAAAAGTTCAGTTTGCCTTTCAAAGTAACGCATAGGCTTGCAGTCGATTGTTTGGGTTCAAAAATGCCCAAGTTTCATTAGGAATCTATGATGACCACGTGCAGAGTGTGTGTAGCCCCTTGCTACTTGAATGCTTGACTCCCTAACACATAGCTTGTACCTACACGAATTTTTGTCAAGACCCAGAAATCTCTAGCCCAGTCCTGGCAGGTGTTTGCCAGGTCAGGCTGGACTGAGTCTCAATGACCACTAGATGGCAGCAATTGAATGGCATTTCTATCTGCAGCTCCCCATCCCCGCACCAAAGTTGCTTTTGATAACGGCCCCGTTCTGTCTCTGCAGCCAAAACCCCACTTCAGATGAAGTCTTGTCCTGGTCTCAAAATTTTGACAAGATGATGAAGGCCCCGGCAGGAAGAAACCTCTTCAGAGAGTTCCTCCGAACAGAATACAGCGAAGAGAACCTACTCTTCTGGCTTGCCTGTGAAGACTTAAAGAAAGAGCAGAATAAAAAAGTAATTGAAGAAAAGGCCAGAATGATATACGAAGATTACATTTCTATACTCTCACCAAAAGAGGTAAAAATCTGGAAAATATTGATGTGAGCTTCTTAGACCAAGGATGAACCTAAAAGGATTTCTGTCCAAATTGAGTAATGAATGCATGGGGTGTGGACAAGCTAGAAGGCTTGTCTGGGTAGATCATCTATATTCCATTCTACCTGAATCTACCTGAACACGTGTTTCAAGGTTAGGTCTCCCCAGTATGCTTTGATCATTTATCTCTAGCTGAATCATGTGACAGTCTACTTGCTTTTCAGAACTACCATTAGGAAGCCTGGTAATACGATTTGCCGTGACTTAAAGTGGAAAAGAAGAACTTACTTTGGGGCAGTGTTTCTCAAAGTGTGATCCCCAGATCACCTGTATAGGAATCACCTGGAGCATTTGTTTGAAAAGCAAATTCTCGAGGCTGACCCAGGACTTCTGAATCTGAATTTTGGGAAATAGAGCCCAGGAATCCATACCTTTAACAAGTTTTCCACATACGTACTAGTTTGAAAACCTCTGGTATAGGGGAAAAAAACGAAAACAAAAGAAACCCTGCCATGTTGATGCTTATGATAGAAGTTTTACAGAACTGAAGTATGACCCTTTAGGACCCATTAATATTCTTGGGGGAGAGATGTGTAATGGCAATCATTTTACTTGTTCTGGTTTTCCTGTTATTTATAAGTGCAAGATATTTTTCCCATTGCCAGAATGTACCTGATAAACAAGGAACCTTCCAAGCAACCGGATTGACACCGTTCCATTAGCTTTCTAAAAATCGGTTTGCTCCTGAGAAACGGTCCCGCTACCAGAATTAACAAGCATTTGGTGAGGGAGGGGCTGAGAGTGTGCCGAGTGACTGAGTTCCAGCAGGGCTTTTCAGAATTTGAACTTAGAATTTCCTAGAATGCCTTCTCTTCTGCACGCCACCCTCTTGCTGTCTTTTCTGTCTCTCTTAAGCCACTGTGATTTTACCTGTGCATTTGACCTGGTGTTCTGACCTGGTGCTGTCTGCCTCCGGACTTTATCCTCCACACCCCTCTCCTGCACGCGGACGTTTATTACATCCCCTAGAGACAGGCATCTGTCTCCTTCAGCGTTTGGTGCGGCCCTTACCTTTAAATCTGTAAGATGAGTTTGCGTCTGGTCTATCAGCTCTGTGCTTGGGATGCTATATAAGCTATTTCACTTCTAATCAGATGTACCTAAGTAATTTTTTAAAGATGTATCCGTTCGTGCCATTGGTATTCCAGAGTACTCCAATAGCACTGTCTCTGCAAAATGAGAAACCTTGAATTGGATACACAAAAGATTGTCTTAATTTTTATTTCCTGCATTAACACAGAAAAAGTATTCATAGAAACAAGGTGGGGAGAAATTTTTCTATAGCCTCAATACATTTATTACTGATGCCACTTTGTATTTCTAACACCATTAAAATTCTGCATCCTAAAAATACATTCTTCAGGTTCTGGTCTCTCTAGAACCTCAGCATCTAACCAGTTCTACTTGAATTTTATTAGTATATTAAGCTCACCTTCATTTTTATTTAATATTGCAATACATGGCAAATATATCAAATAATCCAAATGTGCCCCAAGGTGTGCTTCTCTTGTCCATGAGTACACATAATTACAGAGTCCTTGGGAAGATTATCTATCCCATTTCTCTCCCCCAAATATGTAACATGTATCATTTGAAAATGATTATTGTTTAAATTATCTAGTCCATTCCTTTGTACTATGTATCCTCTTAAAATGATGACTGTCCCATTTTAAAATAATGTTAGTAGAAAAAGTGCTCTCTATATTAAGTACATACAATTCCTTTATTTTACAGTCTCCATGTTCTAATTTTAAGTTTTGATGGGAAACACTTCCCCACTGTTCTCACAGCTCTTGAGTTTCAGATGTTACTCATTGATGGAGCTTTGTAAAATACTTAATTTTCACAAAATTACTTCTTCTCTGGGCCACAGTTTAGAGATATCATAGTTATTGATAACTGAAATATAAATTATTGGATCTTCATTATTTTGCAAAAGTAATGGAGTTTTGTTTTAACCAAATTTCTTTACTTTGAACATGAGTTTCACCAAAAAGTCATTAAAATATTATTTCCTGAATAAGAACATGACCTTTCCTAAATTAAATAGACTAATATTTACTGTAATAGCCTCTCTCCTTTAATATTCTCTAAATACCAGAGGCAGAGGTAAAATTCAAATTTTTATCATTTGGCTACTTGTTTGCTGATATATAAATAATTCTCAACATAGAATCTAAGTGATTGGACTGTATGAAGTACCTCTGTTTAGCCAACTGATGGCTCTCCTGTCAACATAGTAATTACACTTATTATTTAGCAGCAAAATTGAATAAACCCAAAGTAGGCAATTATAAAAGATAATTGTTAAGAAGTTATATTTTAAGCCCACGTATAGATATATTTACTTTTGAACCCAGTCAGATGACTTGACTCACTTATATACTCCCAAAATGGCACTCACTTTCTAGCTATCCCAGGGCCCTTTCCAAAATATTATATCTCACTGACCTTCTATGCAAAAACTTGTCCATTTCTAATCAACAATACACTGCTAACCGTTTAATGATACTGTGTTATCACCCTTCAAGTTTTGTTTTCCACCACTGGAGAGAACACATGTCCCATCCAGAGAGCCCTGACTATATAGTAGTAAGAACACTGAACTAACACTCGGGTGGGCAGATTCTAGTCCATGCTCAGCTCCAACTTAATTGTGTGGCCTGGGATAAATTAGTTCACTTTTTCTGGGCCTCGGTATTCAGTTGATTTGTTTATAAAAATCAAAATTCAAAGGGGCACATAGGATAGTAAACCAAGTCCAGAATGGCAGCTGTAAGGCCCTTGTGGTACTACTGCATTCTCCCCTCCAAACGTCATGGCCAATTAGTCACGGTCTTCCTCACTGCTGTACCCAGATTCAACCTCAGAGCCTGTCTTAACATGGTGCTCAGAGCAACCACTGCAAGGCCATCGGAGTTGGGAATCTACTTCCCACTTTGGAGCCAGACAATCTGTTTCTACTTAGAATATTTTTAAAGAATATGAACATTTGAATCATTTGTAAAATGGTAATAACTAAATAACTGAAAATTGTCAGGACTTTATTCTTAACCAGAACCTCAGTTTTCTTCACTAGACTTTCATTTTACTTTAATTAGATTGGGTCATCATGTTGCCCTTTGTTAAATGTTAAGGAGGTCTACATTCTTAATATTATATATACATTGGGGCTTCCCTGGCGGCGCAGTGGTTGAGAGTCCGCCTGCCGATGCAGGGGACGCGGGTTCGTGCCCCGGTCCGGGAGGATCCCACATGCCGCGGAGCGGCTGGTCCCGTGAGCCATGGCCGCTGAGCCTGCGCGTCCGGAGCCTGTGCTCCGCAACGGGAGAGGCCACAACAGTGAGAGGCCCGAGAAAAAAAAAAAAAAAAAAAAAAATATATATATATATATATATATATATATATATAGCATATTTCCTTCATGAAGCCAGAGTGCTGAATGTTACATTTCGTTGTTTTAAGATCATGTTATATGCATTTTTAATAATTTGGATGTTATGTTATAAAACAGATGTTTACAACCAGGAGGCAATATAACTTCCACTCTTGGCATAGCATGCATTTCAAGAGGGGAAATGACCAAATTTTAAATTAAAAAAAAAAAAATCTAAAAACAGACAAAAATAACATTTCTTTCAAAAGTGAATTTTCTTCTTTGTCCTCAAAGGGAAAACAAATGGACGTAATAAAGAGGAATTTAAGACTAATAGTAGGCTTGCTATGCATCACAGATGCCAGTGGCAACTTATATTAAGTATTGAAAAGACAAACCCAGCAAAATAAAGAACTTTAATAAAAAGTTTGCTTAAAAGTTATGACCAACTTAAACAGCATTGAGCTGTTGAATAAAGAAATATCTATAAATGCTGAAACAACTGTAAGACTTATTGGAATTGAAGAAAACTATGTGTGTTCAGATATCTAGTGACAGCATTGTCCTTAACCAGGGCTGTAATCCAGCCCCGCCACTTAACCATCTGTTTAACACTAAGAAACTCACTTCAGTGCTCTGCAGCCTTAGATACCTTGTTCTGTAGAATGCGGGCATGGAAAAAGCTCAAAAACCCACTAAATCTATGACTTTCAGGCTCTGCTGAATGACAGTTTTTATAGTAGTAGGAACTGTTTGCTTCTTCTGATTTCACCCTAAACTTCCAGTTGCTATCAGGGAGAAAAAAGCAAAAAGCCTATTTAAACACCAGAATTATCTAAACATAATGCATATGTGAAAGACACGTGGGTCCTATGTGTGCACATAGACAGATGTTTCTTCGTGCAAAATCATGTGAATTTAGCACTCTCAATAATTTAAATCAGTTTTTCTAAACAGGACTCATGATTGTACTTTCCTAGATTCATTTCTTTGTGCATGCATATTATCATTCAAAAAATATTTATTGAGTACTTCCTATGAGCCAGGTACTGGGCTAGATGTTAGGGATATGATGGTGAACATTGGCCTATACCTTATGGAGCTTTCATTTTAGGAAGACAAACAAATCATGTCAAAAACAAGTAACTAAAAATCGTGATAAACATTATGATGGGGGTGGAGGTCAAATGATGTAGTTAGAATAGGGTTAGTCAGGTAAGGTCACTCTGAGAAGGTAAAATTCAAGTTGATACAAAGTCTAAAGACATTGGGTTTGAGGTGTCATTACACATATGCTCAATTATTACTATCATTACTATTATTACTTTACACTGGGCTTAAACTTTGTTGTTGACAAAATGGTCTTACGTATATTATTACAGTATAAGTCTCACAAGAATCCTTTAGCCTCTAGGACAGATGGCACCATTTTATAGGAAAGGGAATTGATTTTCAAAGAAGTAAAACAAGGATATTAGAATTATATCTGGTAGAGAGAGAACACAACCCTAAGATCTTCTGATTCCAAGTGTGATGCTCTTCCAACTACAATATGCTGATGAGTTGTTCCATTCATGATACTACTATGGATTTCTATGAACCCAAACTTGAACTTGAGACACGATAAGAACTAGTAACCTTAACCACATGTCTGAACCCTCCTTCAGAAACAAGATTAACTTTCCCATCATTTGTACGCCATCAGAAATATGGCTACTCCACTTTATCCTACCAGTGATGTTTGGTCCAAGAAACACATTCCAATAATCAATCTTATTTGTAATTTATAATCATTTTCAGTAGAAATAACCAACACAAAATAATATGACTAAAAACACACGTGGTAAAAGTGTATTAAAACAGATAGGAAAACCAGATAGCCTTCAGATCTGTAAAATTTTACATGAGAAGACCTAATTTAGTTAAAATTATAAAGAACATTTCCAATGGCAAAAACTATAATTGGTAAAATTGAATGTGGACTTATAAAGGAAAAAGAAAAAAATTAATCAGAATTTTACTTAGAAAATAACCCTAAGTAAAGCAGCTTCAGTAAAATTAGAAATAAAGTGGAAAAAATGGGAGAAAAATTAAATCATTATGTGTAAAAAAAATTGTTCAAGGTATTAATTGACTTCGGAGGGTCTTTATGAGAGTAAAAGACTTTTAGTGGTAATTCATCATCTTCAGTACAATTCCACCGAAAAAATGTCCAAAGAGTCAACATTTCCATGATGACTAGAAGGGGAAGACGGTCAAAACTTGGTGTGCTCCCTTTTGCCAATACTGACCTATTTTACATGAATTGGCTCCACTGCTAGGAAATCTATCAAGCATAATATTTAATTCAATTTGACCCAGGTTTGCCCAACCACACTAGAAAGATTTCTGTTTTCACCCTCCCCACTTTACCCCCCATACTCTTGTTGAACCTTTAGCTTTCATTTCATTTTCCCCCCAATTAGTTTGTGGAGTTGCTGGTGAATATTTTTATGTTTGCACGCCACGTGCTTTTCTTCTTCTCTGTCTCCTACTCCCTGTGGGAATGGATGCTTCCAAGTTCATTGAGTCCTGTCACAAAGTCACTTATGCCTTTTTAAAGCTTCAGTTACCACCTCTCAACACTGCCAACATTTCCAGCACTGCTAAAACTGCCAGTTAAATGCTGCCAAGTCTCTCAGTGCCCTCTTGTGCCCTGTCCCACAGTAGTAGATCGTTTTTTAACTGTTATTGCTGCACTGCGTCCCTCCCTTCACCCCACCTAAATGGGAGTCTGTGAGGACTGAGTAAGAAAAGAATTTCCATTGCCCAAGGATAGCTCTTGTCTTGTGCTACTCAACTTTCTCTTCCCCTAGCATGAGTTCTTTACAGGAAACTCCTCAGTCCTATGCATTGGCCTTACAAGCCATCCAATCATGGGTGAATCCTAGGGTGACAATGGCTCAGGCCCATGCTGGGATCCACCCACACTAACTTGTATTATAGATGTTCCACAATCGAAGCACAAAGATCCTACAAGATGAAACTATAGACTGTTATGCTCATGGGGTTTATCCTTGTTGTTTGACACTTGTTTTGACTGACAGACAACGTTTTCAAACAAACAACCAGATATTTAGGAAAATATTTTATTTTTCAAATGGAAATAGCAAATGTGTTTTTGTTACAGATTACTAATGTTGAATGGTACTACTTTCTGTACTGCATTTCACTACTGTTTTTAATTAGCCAAGAAAATGTTTTAATTATACAGTGAAGACTCAACACATTTACTAATTTAAATTATTTTATTTCACTGTCTTCAGATAACTAATATTATTCCAGCTACTGATAAACTGTTATCAGTTTATCACATGTTAAATATGTTAATTATATGTGTTAGGGAACATATATGTTAAATAGCATATATTTCATTATGCTATTCTTTAAGAAATAAATGACCTCTTTATCACTAATCTAATGTTTCTCTCTCCAATGAAAGAAAAATTTCCCAAGTTTGAAAGTAAGAGCACCATTTACAAAAATAGTAGAATATGTTTGTTAAGATTCACTTGACCATAACACCACATTTCAGAATAAGATCTATCACTTTAAACTCCAATGTCAATATTTTCCTTTTGAGTAGAAAAACTAATGATATTTTTAAAGAGAAAGCTTAGATAAAAATTCTGTACTTTTTATTACTTGGTACTTGACGATGACCTCTTATGGCAGTAACACAGAGAATAAAATGTAAACGATCCATTTCCAGAACATCTTTTCTTTTTTTCTTTAGAATTTAGAGAGAAGAATATACAGTTCAGCCAAGAAACGTTTAATTTTTTCTATATATGTTAGTCTAGCTAAACCACAGAAATTTAGTCTGGATCACCATTTCCCGACACATCCTCCCCTAGCAGCCATCCCTGGTGTATATCAAGGAACCCAACACCACATGGGCTGTTGAGCTCAGGCATCTGGGGACACCAAATGGAATATGAGTGGCTTCCGTCATTGGGACTGTTTCAGATCCCAGGCTTAGTCCAAACAGTGGGTGGGAAAAGAAGCCGAAACCAAAAAGGCTTTTGCAAAATGCTTGTGACGAAACGTTCAGCTATAAATATGAAAGGTTTGTATAGACTTGAGTACATCATGAGACAAATAACTGTGGATCACAATGCCCTAGTCTTTGTTCAACAGTGAGAACTATGGACACCAATCAAGACTCTGAGGTGGTTTTCCTCTTAGAGGGTGTTGCTAACATGTCATTTCAGAGCAGGCCTTAGTTCTTTTCCCAGAGTGTACATTTATTGGTATTTAATTTCCCCCCCTTCCCATTTCAACATGCTCTACCAGTTCCAACCAGATTAGCATTTAGGGAGGAAAAAAACAAAACAAAACAAAAAACAGAACTGAATCACTTGCAGAATTTAATTTCTTTACACTTTTCAAATAACACTGTATGATTAATGGGTACTCTGAATTCCTACTTACATTTCTCCTTTCAGAGATTGAATTTCAAGTAAATATTCTGCTTAATCTTTAGTACAGAGACCTTTGGATGTATTCCCAAGTATGGGCTACAGAGTGTCCTATGCCATGCCAGGTAGATAGAAGAGCTGAAGAGTGTGTGCTGTCGTTCTGCTCTGTTCAGCCCTTCCACATTCCTGGTGTCCTCCTTCTGACACGGGAGGACTTGTTGGGATTTGAAACTATCGGGAATCAGCACTTGATATACGTGTTAAGTTTTGACAGAGAACTACTCTCCACCAGATTTTTGCCTTGTTCCATCAAGAGAGTTATTACCCCAGCAGTCTCATAATAGGAGGACGTCAATTTGTATTCTGGCCAGGGAATTCTCTAGCACCGCAACAATGAATAGAAATTGTCAAAAAAACTCCTGAGTGAATGCGTAGAAAAGATACATCCAAGTAAGCCAAGATATCTGAACTAAAATTCTGGTTTAAAAGTTGGTTTTTGTTTGTTTAATTCAACTTTTGAAGGAGAAAAGTATGCAGGGTTATTACGTAACCTTTGAAAACATAACCTCAAGATTTTGTTTTTTTGTTTTTGTTTTTTTTTGTTTTGCGGTATGCGGGCCTCTCACTGTTGTGGCCTCTCCCGTGGCGGAGCACAGGCTCCGGAAGGGCAGGCCCAGCGGCCATGACTCACGGGCCCAGCCGCTCCGCGGCATGTGGGATCTTCCCGGACCCGGGCACGAACCCGCATCCCCTGCATCGGCAGGCGGACTCTCAACCACTGCGCCACCAGGGAAGCCCCTAACCTCAAGATTTTAGAGTTATTCTGTGAGGTTCCTCTGAAATGTCATGAATCTATACTTACTTAGTTGAGATCTTTTGAAAAAATATTATTTAATGTATCTGCTCTTATTTCTTTTTAGGTCAGCCTCGATTCTCGAGTTAGAGAGGTGATCAACAGAAATCTGTTGGATCCCAATGCTCACATGTATGAAGATGCCCAACTTCAGATATATACCTTAATGCACAGAGATTCTTTCCCAAGGTTTTTGAACTCTCAGATTTATAAGTCATTTGTTGAAAGTACTGCCAGCTCTACTTCTGAATCTTAATTTTTATTTTTAAAAAATCATTTTGGAGGGCTGGGATGAGAAATAAAAGTAGTTAAATAACACCTGAAACTGAGTTCCTGGAGAACTACAGTTTAGCATTCCTCAGGCTACTGTGAAAATACAACCATATGGTCTTTGTCTCCATTTTGTATCAAGGAGTTACGTTTGGAGAAAATACCACCTGAAACAATGAATTGCCAAATTAAGTTTGTTTCATTCAACACGCATTCTACTTGCAAGCAAACTGTATTTGTAGTCCTATGAACAGTCTCCTAGTGTATCCAGAGACTGCATGTGCAAAGTAAAACTGCTTCATTTGCCATGTAGTTGTTGTTAATATTTAAGCCAATGGCATAACTTATATCTGTATTTAAGGACTTTTGTGCAATATGGTCTTATAGAAATAATTGCCAAAAAGTTGGCTGTGGTTTGCATTTTTAAATATAATCTAAGACAGAAAAAGCCAATTTTTAAATTGTAACTATGATATTCAACATGCTATATACTGTGTTCAGTACACTAATTTTGAAGCCAATATTTCTGTACATGAAAAAAGAACTATTTATCTCTGTTTGTTGGAAAATCCTAATGGGGAATTCCTCTGGTTGTTCACTGCCAAAACTGTGGCATTTTCATTACGGAAGAGTTTTCTTCATATATATATATATATGAAGAAAAGAGAAAAAAAAAGCACAAAACAATCTGAAGATATTCTATCTCAAAGACAAATCAAAGAGTGATATTGTTTTTAACTGTAATAGAGGAAAATGAATCTATGTATCAGATGTCCAATACTGTAATTAATTTATTAAAGACTGGCTCTCCAGTTCTAAAATGGTTGTGTAAAGTATGTACTTTAGCAAAAAAAAATAATAAGCTTGATAACTTAGTTTTGGAATATAAAGAAAGGATTTAATAAAGGAATGCCTATATGTAGCATCATAAAACTTTTGATGAATAGCATCTGTGCTGTGGCATATTTTCCTTGAAAGTGAAATCCAAGAAAAGCTAAGTTTTTAAGCAAGAAAAGTTTTATAGGGGTTCTCTAGAAGACAATTCTCTACTTCAGACCTTAACTGTTTTCACATAGTATCTTTAAAATGACTTATTTAAAAAATGTTAAAACCAAACCATTCTGATCCATAATTGACAGGCAGTACAGTGCTCAAATCTTTTAGCTGCCGTATTATTTTTTATATGTACTACTAAATCTTTAAGACAAAAAATACTTGCCTGACATTGGCACGTACTTTTGACATTCAAGAAAACAGTATCCTATCTCGCACACACACACAAAAGTCAGTGTCATATTTATATCAAGGTGTTACATTTGAATATTAACATCCCCTGGAGGCTATTTTTTTAATCTTAAACTTAATAAATATTGAGTAACCTAAAATGAAAGTTTTAAACATATTTATATCCACTAAGAATACTGGCCTTATATTAAGGATATTAAAATTATAAGTTTCCTTTGTCATTTTTTTAACTACCTCTCATTTTTTTAATTTATTAAAGTTTTTTTAAAAAAATCAAGTTTGGGGTTTTCTTTTTAACATTTATTTTACTTGAAAGGTTGACATCGTAATTTTCTTTTTCCATAAACTTAAAACATTTCAAGAATTGCTTTTTTAAGTGAATTTGATTTTCTAACTTATACAGAATTCAGGAGATATGATTAAAAGGGCTATTATCTATTCCCTATGCAAATATTTTAACTGTTGCAGTGTTTGACAAAATGGGATTTAAAAAAAAAAGTTTGCAGAGTAGAAAACAAAACGTTTCTGTTTACACTGGCGTTGCTGACTATCCTACTATATTCAGCACTTTTAAATACATTATTTATGAAAATGTAGTTAAAATACAAGATAGAAAATATTTATAATAATTATTTCTTTTAACAAATGCGTGTTTCTGTCTGAAAGTGTTAGTGTGTTAAGACATGCTTTATCCATGTCAATTAGATATTTACTATTTGAACAATAGTTTTCAGTAATATGGTGAAAAAGATAGCTATGAAGATGTTTACAAAATGTCGTATTTTTTTCCTAACGAGTGAAGAAAAAGCTAAAAGAATAATCATCACTTCTATTGTGAAGTTTATTGTTCCTAAATTATCTAATTTTTTTCTTGATTAGAATTGTTATGCTACTATGCTGTATACACATATATGTTGTAATATCATACTTGTTGCTGTGTTTGAGGCACATGACTAGAAAATATGTAATATGCTATGATACACTGCATGCATCAATCTTTTTAAATGTAGACTTTATATTCTTGTTACTATATATGATGGTGACTTGTTAGTCATAAGTTATCTTTATAAGATACTTTGGACTATTAGATGAATTGTCTGTTTGACAATACCTTTAATATTTTACCAAATGTAAAAGATAAGGGCCCTTATAAAGAGTCCTAATCTCTAACTCTGGGCATTTGTAGTATACAGATTTTGAAGCTAGTATATCCTTTTGAAATCTGATTAGGAAGTTGTGTTGAGAATGATTCTAGAGTAGATTTACACATCAGATGTTACGTGAGATTTCCCTGCTAAATTCCTATTTTCAGGGGAGGGGAGTGTTTCTCTTTTAATTTCAAAATGTTTAAAGTTTCCATGTAAGAGTATGTCTGTGTACTTGCAACTCTACCAATTTTTAAAGTATGGTATAATTCCTTCAGTTTTAATTACAGAGCTATAATAAACAAAAAAAAGCCCTCAACTGGTGTCTATGCTACCATTCCAAGAGCACAATATTTGTTTTGGTAGAGTTTGATTTTTCCTAGTGAGTAAATTCCTCCCTGGGGAAAAATTAGCACTTTAGAAGGTACACTTTATATTTTACATTGCCAAGATATCTTTGTATACTGTTAGAATCTGCTAATGCACACAGAAAGAGGTTAATGCTCTTTAAATAATGCCTAACTTCAGATGTGTCTATAATGAAAAGTAGAGGATATAGATTATATATGAATATGTATACATATATTTATATAAATTGGAGAGATTTCTTCAGAGATGGATCTTGAACATAGATCACACTAATAATGAATGCATGATGCTTCTTTACTCTGGATAACTATTATTATGTTACCTAAAGGTAATACAGATGTCCCGACAGTGTTATAGGGCAGCTCTAAGCACAGCAGGTGCACTGGCAAGAGAACAATAGCAAAACACAATCTTGATATCAACACTATGAAGTGCAAAAATCAAGACCATAATGTGGTCCTTTTTTTTCAATTTTAAAATATGTACATAGGATGACCAGTTCTGATATTTGGTCATGGTGCATGGGGTGTTTATTCGTATCCTTTAATGCTGCCTAGATTCTTACTTGTGGAATGAAATGTGTATCATATATTTACCTGATAGTTCAGTTTTGCAAAAAGATTGTAGAAATAAGTAAATAGTATTTATTTATTAGGGGCAAAAAAATACACTTTCACCCCATTAAGCTGATTTAAAATAACACCTGATTCTTATTTTTTGAATTTATCCATTTTTTTCTATACACTTTTAACTTACATTGAAAAAAATGTCATATTGTAATTGTAACAAACTACATTTGCAAAAAAATGCAATATACCAGATGTGTTGAGGAAGAAATATACAAGGAAGAAATTTAACATACAATCAGAAAATAGGAAAATAAGCCACCTAAAATTTCTTAGGTCCAAAATGTCTATAGATAGAACCCTGTCAAACTTGAGTTTTGAAAACTTTGCATTAGATACATTGGCAAATTATTCTGAAAAGTGGTAAAGATATTTCCAGAATTTTTTTTGCCTGTGTATTTATGTTGACAGTTTATGACCTTAATTTTCATAGTTTTCAGACACTTATATTTGCATGCTCTTTTCAGTTTTTAAAAAATTTCTGACCAATATGTTTGTTCTCCTGAGAAAACAATACTCAATCTGCAAAAAGTTTAGTTATTCCTTACTTGCTGCAACTTCAAATATTTACCAATGAAACTGATACCAAAAACTTGCTTCAGATCTTCTCTGCAACACTCTTAGTAGTATCCTTGCAACACACAACAGTGCACAGAGCGATAAGTTTTGTTTCCAGATACCAGCCTTTAATTATAAATTTGGTTTCAAGTTACGTTTCTGTCTCATATGACTTTGGGCAAATCACTTATCCTCTCTGAGCCTGTTTCTTTATCTTCAAATGAGGAATATAATAATTTACAGGATGGCCATGGGAATGAAATAAACATGGAAAGAATGAAGTGTTACATATGATATTACTATTTTATCAAAGTTCTCCAGCTCAATAATAATTCCCATTTTCAAGAATGTATGTATTAAATGCCATTTTAATGCACTTTCCCCCGATTTTTTTCAAACTATACTTTAAAAATCTGATTTAATTATTCATTAAAAAATACAAGCAAGCTTATTTTAAGACAGAGGAATATATGAATATGTTATTGCTTTGTTCAATAATGTGATTCAAAATCACTGTTCTCAGTTCACCAACATCACACTGAAGCTACAAACAAGAAGTATGTTTCTTTCAATGACACACACACAGATATATTTAGATGTGCATATGCATATGTGTGAGTGTGTGTATAATATTGTAGGTTTAAATCAAAGTTTAAATAAGAGAAATCATTTGAAAATTTTATTTCCACAGGAAATAAAACATTCCCAAGGATAGGAAGAATATAAATATCAGTTAATTTGCCAAACAAATATGTGGTGGTTAGAGGTAAAACTAAACCAAAAGAGACTGGCCTGTAGAAAACATTGACTGGCACGGAACAGAAAGCATTCTTTTTACTATTAAGGAAGTATGATTTTTTAAATAATTTTATCATGAAAATAAGTAAATAAAAGGCAGTTGTATGTTCATAAAAGTTTTCATTAAACCTTTTATTTTAGAATAGTTTTAGATTTACAGAAAAATTCCAAGGATAGTATAGATAGAACCCATATATGACACACCCATGAAACATTTGTCACAATTAATGAAACAATATCAATGCATTATTAAGTCTACACTTTATTTAGATTCCCTTAGCTTTTAACTGTCTTTTTTCTGTTCCAGGATTCAAGATGCCACATTACATTTAGTCATCATGTATCCTCTTAGCTGTGACATTTTCTCAAACTTTTCTTGTTTTTGGTAACCTTGATAGTATTGAGTACAGGTCTAGTATTTTGTAAGATGGCCCTCAACTGGAATTTGTCTGATCTTTTTCCCACGATTAGACAGGTGTTACCAGTTTTTGGAAGAAAGACGGCAGAAGTGCCATTCATATCACACCATTCAAAGGTACATACCATCATTCATTACGACTTATTATTGTCGATGTTGAACTTCATCACCTGGCTGAGGTAGTGTCTGTTAGGTTTTTCCACTGTAAAGTGATACATTTTTTAAGAGGGTATACTGGACGTAAATTTACTGGACATTTACACTGAGATAAAAATATTCTGAGCAGATTCCTCAGCATTGCTACTAGGTTCCATTAAATGACTGCTAACCAATACTATGAAGAAAATATAATGAACTGGAAATTGATACGGGAAAGTAAAACTCCAAAATGGTGTTAGCTTGAACATTCACTTAAAGGAGGTGAAAGTTAACTTTTTCCCTTGAACTACCTGTATGATTACCTTAATCCTCTGCATCCCTTGGATAGTGAAGATTTTAGTTTTACTGTCATAAAAGGTAATCTAAATTGATGATGATTTTGCTGAGTACTTTTCTATATTGCCTTCCACTGAACAATGAACACTGAATACTGGAATAATGTAAAAGGCTTGATTTTTCCCCCCTTGCTTTAAACTATTTGTCATAAATACAGTGTATCTTGTATATGATTTTAGGGTGTTTGCTAAATATTAAAAAGTATTTCAATGTGTTTGGTTCTGTAAAGTTTATATTGAACGTGTGTAATTTTTTCTACCATGTTCATTGTACTTAATAATCTATATCCATATCTTGGACTTTACCAATATTTATTAGTGGACCATAAAGAAATTTTGAATGCATGAATATAACTTGAGATGCCATGTTTGGTTATTTTGCAATGCCAGAATAACTGTAGGTACTTATAAATTGAATAGATAATCCAGATTATTTTTCCACCAACTTAAGTTGTTTTGGGTTTTTATGCCCCCTTCCTTGAATCTATTTTATTATTTTACCTATGTACAATATCAGACTTCCTGAAAATGCTAGAATTTTCAACATGTAATAGAATTTAAGCATGACCATAATGGAAAAAAATGCAGAAATCTCGAACAGTGTATATTTCTTTGAGTTTTCAAAGTAAAACTAAAGCTGTTTTCATTTGACTATATTGTGGAAACCTATGGATATTATTGTAAAATGCACATGCATTACACTGACTTTTTAAAAATGTTTTGAATAAAGAATTCACCAATGTATCCTTAGAAAAGTTACTGTTTCCTCATTGGTGTAACACTATAGGAGTAAAGGTGCACTTAATTATGTTGCTTAAATTGCTTACACATCTGAGGGAAAATAATTGCTGGCAGGATTCTTTACATTGTTCTATAAGGTTATCACTTGTTACATTTTTGCACCTTTTATAAATAATAAACTATACTCTTGAAATAACTCGTTTTGAGAATTCAGCTGAGAGATTTATGTTGAGTTCAAGTAGCTCCCACAATTTCTATGCTTAAACTAATATTCAAAGTTGAGTTTAGACTTGGAAAAAAACTATTCCTAAAAGAGATACAGACAACCTAATCAGTCCTGTTCTATACTCGGATTAGAATTTTTAAAATTGGGTTTGGATCACTTTTAAAGCAAAACAATTTTATAAAGTAGTGTGGCTTAATACACATTCAAAGTGAAAGAAGATTTGAGTTAGTTGAAGCTTCTAAGTGGCAAAACCTATTTTTGTTCTATACTATTTGGAGAGTCAGCTCATTCTACTTTGCATTTGTATATAGAGAGCAAAGAAACGATGCAAGCTCATTTTATAAGAATTTATACTTAACCTCAACAATTCTGATTAGATGACTTAAGAATGACTTAACCTTGTCAAGGGCTCCCGTATTTTACCATTTTTTTACAAGAATAAGTAAGAAGATTTTGGGTATATTAGGTCTCTGTACAGTTACACCACCACTTAGTAAATCCTGCTCAAACCAGTTAGGTAGAGGGAGTTCCCAGATTGGACGTTCAGCCCTTGCATCGTCAGGCCTGTCTAGATTGTATCATTCCCTCATATACATTCCTCTGGTGGGCTATGAAAAGGTCTTTTGAAAAATGCAAAAGCATTATACCAGTAAACTTAAGTATTCCTGGCACTAATCCACTCTCAAGTTTGGGGGTGGAGGTTGGTGGTTTTGGGGAGACGGGGCTACCGGAGGCGGGGCTCTGAAGGCTTTGCTGGGCTGTGATTAGTTGCAACATGGAACGGCTCAACCACCTTAAAAAGAAGCTAACAAGCAATAAGTGAGAATGGGCATGAGACTCGGTGTGGAAGGAAGCCGTTTTAAAGCAGGTAAATTAAGTGGCAGATAAAGGGCAGGAAAGCAGACTGCTAAATCACTCGTGGTTGCCTTCGAGTCTACTTGTCACGTCTTTGTTAATACGAACCTTAACCACCGTCGAAAAGAGAAACATGAGCAGGAAAATTGGAAGAGTAAACACACGTACACACTGATAACCATCCTACAAGTCGCTCTTGGAGACGACAGTCCAGGCTGGCAAGAGAGGACAACCGTGCTGTGACCTCAGCCCCTATAGCGGACAGTTGGCTGCCCTCCATTGCTGTACTTTAAATTCTGAGAGCTTGGGAGACAAATCTTCGACGTCAGAAAACGTAACGACAACCTGTTGCTTTCTCCTTCCGGTCTAACACTCCGCCCCCGCTCGTTCAAGGAGGCGTGTCTGACCTTGCCTTTAGAGGAGGTGCCCGAGGTCTCTCGGACCCTCCCCTATCGCTTCCGGCTCTGCCCCTCAACTTCCGTCCTCCCCAAATAATACAGCGTTTAATAATTGGCCGGAAGTTCCCAACCAGGCTTCCGGGAGGCCCTTTTAAACGTGCGCGTGCGCCGAACGGGGCTTGGCTAGGTCTCGCCCCTATTGCCAAGCTGCGCGGTGTCGCGAGACTTGCTCCGTCCGGAATTTCCGGCCCTTGTCCGCTTCGGACATGCGGCTGTAGCTATGCGGTCAAGGTTTCTTCGGAGCGCTTTTCGGTGGGCCCGGCAGGCTGCTGGCCCGGCCCGCCGACACGTAAGCTGCGGTAGCCTTCCACTGGAGGAGCTATTCGCCCGCGGCGGACCCCTACGGACCTTCCTCGAGCGCCAGGTAGGGTCTGAAGTCCAGTTGCAGGTCAGGCGGCCTGAGCTGGTGGCGGTGGCCAAGCTTCTGAACGAGAAGGAACAGGAGCTGCAGGAGACCGGGCACCTGCTACACGGTAAGGGCCGTGCCTAGGGGAGCGGAATTCAGAGCAGATTCTTGACTCTTCATTTGCCCTTGCCACTAAGCCGCTGCTCAGATGTCCACACTCTCTCCGAGTCTGAAGTCTTTGCTCGGTTGCAGCCCTTTTTGATTGCATCAGAGATCAAGGCATCTGAGTTCTTGTCCCATCCTCTCCTTGGGCTCCCTTGACAGTGCTCTGCGCCCTTTTACAAAACTTAAGTTGACCTTTATTGGTTGCGTATTTAATAGCAGGAGATTAGCTCGCCAGACAGATAAGGCACTAGTCCTGTTATGGGCTCGAGAGCAGCGTTTCTAAGTGTGGTACAGGGACCACCCGCAAAAGTGACAGAAGAGGTTCGTGCTAAGTAAACCCAGACTCGGAATCTGAGACCTAGAAACATGCGGTTTTAACAGATTTCCCAAGTGATTCTTGTCCATTCGAATCTGGATGGGGCCTATGTTTCTGCATTTGCACAAGCTTCTGGGGATGCTTAGTTGCTGGTCTGTGGCCCACACTTTGGAAAGGCTCTAGAGAGGGTCACAATCTATTGGGGGCAAGAAAGTTAATTATAATACAGATGATAAGTGAAAATATATATCAATAAAAACCTAGGAGAGCAAGGAGAACTTGTTGGGAAAGACTTGTACAGGGATAAAGGCCCACCCTTAGATGATTTAATAATAATTTAACCTTTATTGATCCTTTGCCATATTCCAGGCTTTGCTTAGCTTCCTTTATCTAATAACTCATACAATTCACGTAATAAATTATGAAGTAGGTTCTATTAGCCTCATTCAACAGAAGAGGAACCTGAGACATAAAGATAAAATAACTCAGCTCGGGTGACACCACTTGTAAGGAAGGAATGGAGCTTGGATAGGACTGACCCCAAATCTCATGCTCTTAATCACTGAACTCTATGTTAACCAAGAAAGGGGAGCTTGGAACCATTTTGTAAGGGGGCTCAAGTACTAACCTACAAAGTTTGATTTCATCCTGTTGGCAGAATCCAGCCAGCAGAAGCTTTCAGATTCGGAGTGAATGATAGGAATAGCTTTCTTGCTTAGGAATCTTGATTGGTGGCAGTTTAGAAGCAGCCTGGAATAGGACTGAAGATGCCATGGAAAATGGGAGACTAATGCAGTTGTATAGTTGTGACATAGTATCCTTTGGGAAAAAATTAAATCGGTTTCATTCCTTAAGCAAAGCTTAAAGTCCAAGTAGCAGCCACAAAGCCTTAATATTAAAAAATATATTTTTATATTGATTACATGTTGAAATTGGTAGTGTTTTGGGTATACTGCATTAAATAAAATGTAGTATTTAAATTAGATTATTTCTACACTTTAGTTCCAATCTTCTTAGCCTTACCAGAACACTGCATTTCAGAGCTGAAAGGCCCCTTAGAGATCATCCAGCTCAGATCTTTCATTTTATTCTTGAGATTACTGAGACTCAGAAGTTAGGTGTATTGCCCTAAGAGAACCTTGGTTGTTGAACTAGGGCTAGAATTCATTTTTCCTTTTTCTAATTAAGCACATTTTACATTTCACCAAATTCTTGCCAAAATAATTCCCTGCCATTCCACCAACACTCCCTATATTCACCTATCTCAGTTTTGCTGTTGTCATTCTCTCTCCTTAATTCTTTCCTTTTTCTGCCCATCCCCAAAACAAACAAAAAATCCTTCAGCATGCTGTTATTTTAGTATTTAATCACATAATGTTTTAGGTTATTTTTTGTGAGTTTTTCTCCCCTAGAATAATATAAGGAAAGTAAAATGATCTAAAATCCTGCCTTGAGGGCAGGTCTTAACATATTATCCCCAGCTCCCAGCATAATTGGCTGTTAATACATGAATAAACATTCCAGCTGATAGAGTTTGTTCTTTCAACAGAAACAGAAAATTGTAATAGCTAAGAAAATTTCTGCCTGTCTCCTTTCTATAGGCTGCATGTGGTCCATAGGATAGAGGAATGAGGAGGTATATTTTGTACGGTAAAAATGAAAACTGAAAGATGAAATAAGAATTAGGTAAAGCCTGAGAGAGAAGATGCTTCATGTAAATATTCTGTCAGTATTAGGCTGGGTCTAAATGTTTATTTAGGTGGACACTTTTATATTAATGAAGCATTTACTAGTAAGACAAATAACTTCCTACTTTTTAACTCAGTTTTGGTCTAACTGGTGGTACCTTCTCTTCCCCTTCCGGTCTTTCTAACTAGCTCAGTGTATTCATTTGTTATTGTAGAGTCTGAGTTGGAAAACTAAAAGCATATTTGTTAATATGAACATTTTGGGGAGGCAGAATTACAGAAAAGCTTTGTAGCTTCTTTATATTTTTCTACAGAGATTCTTTTTATTTTGAACATATTCTTTTGTCATCAGGAAAAACTTTAAAAAAAATTTTTTTTAACTACATGCTTTTGAAAACTAATGCATAATATGCTTTAAATTAATAACAGTTATTAAAAGGACAGGATAATTGTTATTTTTCCCTTAAGCTACAATAACAATAAAACTACTACCTTGAATTCTGTTAGCAATTTAATACTAATTAAGGAAAAGTTAACCTGCTGCCTTTTTTTCTTAGATGAAAATG